ATGGGACATTTTAGCTGTCAACCAGTATGGGATTCACCAAATGGTCCCAATATACCACTGCTACCAGTAATATCGGAACACAATGATCCAATAATTACTGCTACCGATACTACTACCATTACCTCCAATGCAATGGTCACAGCTATTCATCATACCTTCACAAATGCTTATATGCAAATACAACCTGAAATTCAAACTTTAGCAGAAACGAGTAGTAGTAATAATACAGTTGATTCTAAGAAAAGACATCATCGTAGAAGAGTAATGAAAATGGAAGATGTAAGTTTTTTACTTTGATTTTTACGTGTCGATTATTATAAATTTTAGATGTCGTATGATTATAAATTTATTAACTAGTAAGGAGAAAAAAAGAGAAACTTCATGATAATTAAATTAATTTCTGATTCGTCATCGTATTTAGCTATCATTTTATTCTACCATTATTTAAGTATCCCGTTGTAATCTTATTTAAATTTTGAAAAGCTTTCCGATTGAAGAAAAAGGAATGAGACATAAAAAGGAGGGCAAGATTGAAAGTAATGAATAGTAATTCATTCTCGATATTTCATGTATAATCAAAAATATTTGTTGAATATTTTCACATTTCTTGCTAATCGTATTTCATTTACTCCTTTATCTTATTCATTATCATTTTATTCTATCATTTAATCATTTAAAAAATTCTAATCAAAGTTTAATTCGTCAGGACAAAAATTTTCACCTTTTTCTTGGCAACAATGGATCATCATCGATTGCTTGTCCCCAATATAATATCATCGGATGCGATAATAGTCGAAAACGAAATAAACGAAACATGATCAATGTAAGATCATCGAGACGTTGTTTACAGAATCGATCTCGATCATTGGGTACACATCAGCGAGGCCAAATTCAAAAGTTTTATAGGCCAATTTTTCCAACAAATTTGGCTACCACTATTACTCCATCCTCATCCTCATCCTCATCATCATCATCATCTGCTGCTGCTGCTGTTGCTGCTGCTGCTGTTGATGTTTCCACTAATTTGATGGAATTGCCACAACGTTCAAAGCAAACTTTCGAAATTATATCTGGGTAGAGCCTAAAGCCATTTTTTTTTCTATTTTTTTGTTTCAAACTTCTTTTCCTTTTTACAATATCCATCGAATTAAGACTTATGATAATGATAATGATAATAATAAATAATAATAATAATAAGACTAATAGTAATGAAGATAATTTTGTAATTTATCCGAATTTTATAAAATTTTTTGTTAAACTTAAGGATTAAATTAATAAAATTTACGAAAGTAACTATAAAAATTTCAGTTACTCATCAGATATATCATCATTTCCGGAGGCAGATCGACCGAACTCATCAACAACAGCTGCTGCCATAGTGATCACAACTCAGCATCATTCTTTTGTCGGAAACACACTAAATAAACAATCACCGAAATCTGAAGCACGTCAACAACAACAACAACAACAACAACAACAACAACAA